AGGCAGGAGAATGGCGTGAACCTGGGAGGCGGAGCTTGCAGTGAGCTGAGATCCAGCCACTGCACTCCAGCCTGGGCGACACAGCCAGACTCCGTCTCAAAAAAAAAAAAAAAGAAGTTCCCATGAGGGGTTCCATACTGCATATTCATGAAAAAAGAATGGCTATGTGAGGACTCACCTGTACTCTTAAGGATTCCAATGCATGAGGGAAGAAGGCTGCCCTACACACTATGACATTTAATTTCTCTCAGTCTCAGTATCCTCTCCTTTTGCCCCACTCACCCTCTCACTCATCCCTAAAGTGGCCAACATAAATTTGCCACGAAATCTTTTGAAAAGTTAATTATGGTACTTTAAAAAAATTGTGGGCCGGGCACAGTGGCTCACTCCTGTAATCCCAGCTCTTTGGGAGGCCAAGGTGGCAGATCACCTGAAGTCTGGCCAGGTTTGAGACCAGCCTAACCAACATGGTGAAACCCCGTCTCTATGAAAAATACAAAAATTAGCCAGTTGTGGTGGTGCGCGCCTGTAATCCCAGCTACTTGGGAGGCTGAGGCAGGAGACTCACTTGAACCTGGGAGGCAGAGGTTGCAGTGAGCTGAGATCACACCACTGCACTCCAGCCTGGGTGACAGAACAAGACTCCATCTCAAAAAATAAAGTAAAAAATAAAAAACACTGTGGATAGTTTGGACTCACACAAAGGGAAGTTTTCTATCCCTTTAGCATATTTGCATTTAATAGAAAAGGCAGTGCCACTGGGGTCTGCTTTTTTAATTTATTTTTATTTTTTTTTAAATAGAGACAAGGTTTCACCTTGTTGCCCAGGCTGATCTCAAACTCCTGAGCTAAAGGAATCCATTGGCCTTGGCCTCCCAAAGTGCTGGGATTACAGGAGCGAGCCACCGCGCCCAGCCCAGGCCCAGTGATCCTTAAAAACTCAGAGTAATGGAGCCAGATCAAATTGCTGATAGAGCTGCAAGTTTACAGAAAATAAACATACTGTCTTCTTCCTCAATAGGTTCATTTCTGGAACCCAAGCTGATTTCTGTCAGAAGACTGGAGGTGTGTTGCTCTTGCTGAGAATCTGGGACTAGAGCAGGGGGTGCATGTGGATACCCACGCTCTCAAATGAGAGCGAGCCAAGAAATGCATTTGAGAAATCAGGGTGGAGGGTGAAAGAGGACTCACTAGACATTATGTTAACTATGGATTCTTCTGTGCCTGGGGTAAAATATTTAACAATGAAATTAATTTTTCATGGTAAGTAAATATGACTTAGGGCTTCCCAAGAGAGCTGCATTGGGATTCCAGGACGGGGTTATCTAGTTGTTCAGCCCAGTGGACGAACCAAGCTCCCTGTCAAAGGCCATTGTGCAGTTCTCTTTTTCTGATGCCCATCCTTTCCCTAGTGTTCACCAAATTTGCTTTACAGTTTTAAGTCTCTAGGCAATCCCACGCTGGGGAAAGACTTACAAAGCTACCCATCTTGGGGAATCGTAGAGAGCCACCCGCTTTCCTTCTCACCCTCTTTCTAGGATCCCTTGTCCCCAGTTCTAAAACTCAGCCTCCTGCTTCATGAGCAGGACCATTGAAGCTGACGGTTCTGGCAGTCCCCACGGTTAGACAAGGACTCAAGCAAAGGAGGAGAAGTGGGAGAGGAGAAGCAGCCGGGAGGAGCAGGGATACATCCAAGGCCCTTGTGTATTATCCCAAACTTCCCTGCTGACCCATCTCCCTGTAGTCATGCCTCTTAGCACTTTTGTGACTTTGCCATCATGTTTATTTTAACCTAATTTGTATTAATCTACAGGAGAGGAACGTATCACACACGCTTTGTCCCCGCCCTAAGCCCTGCCTAGCAGGTGTGTTAATACTCCCCATAACAGGGTATACTCACATACGCAGGAAGTCCTTTCAAGCTTATCTGAGTTGGTCTCATCTTTATCAAGAGAGAAGGATGCATCCTCCTAAAGGGGGACTGACAGCTCCTGACCCTGATTCTCTACCACGGCTAAGTGTGTCCAGGCCAATTCCCATGGAACTTGGTGCAGGCATGACCTCTGGCAAGAGCGGTCACAGTGGACGACAGATCTGGGCCTCTAGAAGTGACTGGCATCACCTCGTGTCTAATCTTCCTTTCCTTGGGACATTTTACTCTATTTCTCTTAGAGCTTCCAAGGAATGCAGGACAGAAACGTCCACATGTAAAGACGTGTGCATTTAATGCCCAGGGACCTACCATGGGCCCAGCCCTGGGTATCTTCCTAGCTGGTTCATAGCCTTTTGGTTACTCCTTAAATTCCGCCAGAGCTGCCCACTTGAGGAAGAGGAGCAGGTAGCCACCCCCTCCTTTGCAAATGATACAGACTGTGCCTCTCTCCATCCAGCATTTTATCAGGCAGCAGCTGGAACCTGGCACGAACACACAGGGTTAGAAATGGTGTAGGGTAGGCTGGGCGCGGTGGCTCACGCCTGTAATCCCAGCACTTTGGGAGGCTGAGGCAGGCCGATCACGAGGTCAGGAGATCCAGACCATCCTGGCTAACACGGTGAAACCCCGCCTCTACTAAAAATACAAAAATTAGCCGGGTGTGGTGGCGGGTGCCTGTAGTTCCAGCTACTCAGGAGGCCGAGGCAGGAGAGTGGTGTGAACCCAGGAGGCGGAGCTTGCAGACAGCCGAGACTGCGCCACTGCATTCTAGCCTGGGTGACAGAGCGAGACTCCATCTCAAAAAAAAAAAAAAAAAAGATAATGGCATAGTGTAGGGTGGACAGGAGGAAAGGCAGGCCCTGCATCTGAGCTGTACCTCCTACTGTCTCCAACACCTAAAACATCCCAGTCTGTTCATCTACACAATGAGCAGAATATCCATTTTGAGACTGGGAAGAGTGGAGATAAGGTCAGTATGAATATAGAAATAAGATATAGATATCCTGCTTGAAACCTTCCAAATGCCTCTGTTTCACTTAGAAAAAATTCTAAACTCCTGTCCATGGCCTATAGTGCTGGATGCACTCTAGCCCTGCCTGGCTCCTGAGTCTTGTCTCCCTCACTCTTCCCCTCTCACCATCCTCCAGGGAACAATCTCCTTCGGCTCTGCAGACGCTCCAAGCTTGTTCCCAGTCTGTTTTTGCACTTGCTTCTCCCTGCACCCAGCATCCTCTCACGTGGCCCATGCCTCCATGAGGCTGTCTCTGACCACGCAGTCCACAGGAGCACGCCCACTCTCTCACCACTGCTTTTTACTTTCTGTCAGTTGACACCAGCTGACATGATCTCATTCACTTACTGACGTGTGAGGGCAGGAAATGTGTGTCTCGCTTATCACCAACTCTCCAGCTCTTACTGCCTAGGACAGGGTGTGTACTGGAATATGTGATGGGGGAGTGAATGTATGCTAAGTCTAGACGATGCCCGGAGCGGGCTATAGACCCACTCATGTGAACTTCCGCTCACCCCCGCCCCAGAATCTTCCCAGGCCCAGATCTCCCCTTTCTCTGAGTGTTCCCACTCCCCAGCCAGCAGGCCATGTTTTAGGGCTGGACCCAGCACCATCTGGAATTGAAACTCCTGATTAGGCCTCCTCGCATGTGAAACTGGGCTGCAGCCCCACTCCTGGGGAGAGTGGCCCTCACTTTCTTTGGTGACGCAAAGCTGCTCCTACCCAGGGAGAGCCTGATGGAGTTCAGTGTCCACTTATGGTCCAGTCGTGCCACCCTGGGTACTGGGGCCGGGCACCCTCCTCCTGGGTAAGGCAGGAATCAGGCTGGGGTGGGGACAGTGTTCTGTTACTCTTGAACATGTGCTTTGAGAGGAGCAGCATAAATAAAGAGACACAGCCAAGGGAAAGGTGTATATTTAAAATTCCTCCCCTTCATTTTCTTCTTCAAACGAATCAGTCCCCACTTCTTCATAATCCTTCTCCAGGGCAGCTAAGTCTTCCCTGGCCTCAGAAAATTCTCCTTCTTCCATTCCCTCTCCGACATACCAATGCACAAAGGCCCGCTTGGCGTACATGAGGTCAAACTTGTGGTCGAGGCGGGCCCAGGCCTCTGCAATGGCCGTGGTGTTGCTGAGCATGCAGACGGCCCGCTGCACCTTGGCCAGGTCTCCCCCGGGCACCACAGTCGGGGGCTGGTAGTTGATGCCCACCTGAGGGACAGAGAAAGAGGAGGAGCCACAGAAGAAGATTCAAGTCAGTCAGAGGATAACTCAGGATGGGGCATCTTGATCACCTGGCATGGCTTCAAGTCACGGTCATGGGCATGGGAGTGGGTCTGTGGGATGCAACAGGCGGGATGGGACTGGGGAAGCCAGCAGGTGGTGAGGGAGGAGCTGAAGAGAAAGTGAAAGCAGGCGGGGCAACAGAGCACAAACCCATCTCTACCAAAAAAAAAAAATTAGCCAGGTATGGTGGCCACGCCTACTAGTCCCAGCTACTCAGGGAGGCTGAGGTGGGAGGAACACTTGAGCCCATGAGGTCAAAGCTACAGTGGGCTACAGTGGTACCACTGTACTCTAGTAGCAGGGACAGAGTGAGACCCTGTCTCTCTTTTTTTTTTTTTGAGACGGAGTCTCGCCCTGTTGCCCAGGCTGGAGTGCAGTGGCACAGTCTCGGCTCACTGCAAGCTCTGCCTCCCGGGTTCACGCCATTTCTCCTGCCTCAGCCGGCCCCAAGTAACTGGGACTACAGGGCGCCGCCACCATGCCTGGCTAATTTTTTGTAGTTTTAGTAGAGATGGGGTTTCACCGTGTTGTCCAGGATGGTTCGATCTCCTGACCTCGTGATCCGTCCGTCTCGGCTCCCGAAGTGCTGGGATTACAGGCATGAGCCACCGCGGCCCGGCCAACCCTGTCTCTTAAAAAACAAACAAACCAAGGGCCGGGCGCGGTGGCTCAAGCCTGTAATCCCAGCACTTTGGGAGGCCGAGGCCGGCGGATCACGAGTCAGCAGATCGAGACCATCCTGGCTAACCCAGTGAAACCCCCGTCTCTACTAAAAAATACAAAAACTAGCCAGGCGAGAGGCGGCGTGGCGGGCCTTGTTAGTCCCAGCTACTCGGGAGGCTGAGGCAGGAGAATGGCGTAAACCCGGGAGGCGGAGCTTGCAGTGAGCTGAGATCCGGCCACTGCACTCCCGCCTGGGCGACAGAGCGAGACTCCGTCTCAAAAAAACAAACAAACAAACAAAAAAAAGTAGATGAGGAAGGGCTGGGCAATCAAAGTCTAGAGAAGGAGGACAGGCCTGGTATAGGGGGCTCAGCAAGTAGGCAAATGAGTCACGAGTGACATTAGGAGCGGGTGGGGAGGTGTCTGGTACATGTGTATGTGTAAGAGGGAAATGCATTCTAGATTCGAAGCTATTCAAAAGTGTATTCTCTCCCAAGTGGTCATCTGAAGCTCCTCTTTAGTTGTGTTGCAAGTAAATTTAAGGAAGTTTCCCTGCCAAGAGTGAAAACTGTTGGAAGAGGTCACAGGGATATTCCAGAGCAGTAAATAAAGAGAGCCGAAAGGCCCTGGGGTGGTGCTGGTGTTAACCAGGCTCTATGTTTTTGGAAATCAGGAGTTCTTAGAAGAAAAGCAGGGACTCCAATCCAAGAAGGTTGTTGAAGGTCTTGCCAAGTTCTGGCAGCATGGCAGGTCTCCCAGGCTCAGCCCAGCCCCGTCTTGCGGTGGCGCCGCTATCCTGGAAATCTCTCTTCTTCCCAACACATGTCCCAAACCAAAGCCAACCCCAGGAACCATGGGAAACTGGGACAAGTCTAACGTGGCAAACCGTGACATTACTTATGGGGACTGAGAACCACAGGGATGTCCTCGGCCACCTCTCCCACTGAGACCACCACATTTTAATTGCCAGTCTCTTAAATCCATAGCTTTAAAATGCACATCCTCCTGAGGGGCTGGGGTGGGAATGGCAGCCAGCTGTGCAGCAACATGGGTAGCCAGCCAGCCACTGGGCCCACAGCAGCCGTCATTCCTCTTAGGCACAGGTGGCATCTTGGAGGCGGAGGTGCTACTGGGAGAGGGGCAAAGTGGGGAAGGGAAAGGCAATGAACATGAACTTGGCCACGTCACATATGTTGCTAGATCCGAACCGACTGCCATAAACCTTGAGCCTGGGCCAGCTTGCCCTCCTCAAAGTGCTAACATCTCTTGACCTGAGTCAAGCGGGGACAAGCACTGCTGGAGAGAATGTAAGATGCAGTTTAGCAGCATTCACTCCAGGGAACGTACTTTTCTTAGCTTATGCTAATGCTACCATAATGATCCTTCAGGACATAACCCCAGAGCTTCTGCTTGAAGGAGAGAATGAGGGGGCATTTCCTTTTTGTTAATTTCCCCATCACCCGCCATGTCTCTCTCATTCATTCTCTTTTTTTCCCATTCATTCTCCTACTAGCTTGTTGTTTGTTTCCATTTGAAAAAGAAAAAAGAACTTCATGTTTTGGAAGACCTTGACTGGCTTTGCCAGGATGATTAGAACTGCCACAAAAAAAATAAGCATAGTGTTGAGGCAAAATTATGTATGTAGCTAGGAGGATAGCAGTGAAAAGGAATGCTACACTCTTCACTCAGCAGAACAGCCAGCTCAAAGCCTCAGACTCACACAGGGCAGCCATGAGGCCAGCAGGCAGCTGGTGCCTCACACTTGTAACTCCTGCCAGGAAGAACTGAGGCATGTTCATCTCTTCACCTCCAGCAACGGAGACAAATCCTGACACATAATAGGTACCCGTAAAACCTCTGAATGATTGAAAGCATGACTAGGGGCCAGGCTTGGTGGCTCATGCCTGTAATCCCAGTGCTTTGGGAGGCCGAGGTGAGTGGATCACCTGAGGTCAGGAGTTTGAGACCAGCCTGGCCAACATGGTGAAACCCCGTCTCTACTAAAAATACAAAAATTAGCTGGGGGCGTGGTGGCAGGTGCCTGTAATCCCAGCTACTTGGGAGGCAAAGGCAAGAGAATCACTTGAACCCAGGAGGCGGAGGTTGTAGTGAGGCGAGATCGCACCACTGCACTCCAGCCCGGGCAACAGAGCAAGACTCCGTCTCAGGGGAAAAAAGTTTAAAAAAATAAAATAAAAAGAGAGAGCACGACTAGAGGACACTAGTTAAAGGGAATGTGGTAGCTGTTATGATGGCAGAATCTGACAAAAGACCATGGGCGGAGTGGCTGAGCTGTTCACATGCACAGCCAGGCTGCATGCCTGCCGGTCCAGCTCAGAGGGCTGACTTCAACCATTCGGCATTCCTGGTCCTGGGGCCCCAGGGCCTACCCTTGCTATTTCGTATTTCCCCACTGACTCTCTGAGCCTGGCATTTTCCAGACTGCGGGCACTTGGTCAACCACCAGTCACGCGGCTTGCTGGTTTTTGCTTATTCCTGGTTAATGGCAATGGAAAATAGCAATCATAGAATAACTATAATGTGCAGGATAGATATTTACATTTTCAAAACAAATTGGGAGAGCACATCTTTTTGTGAGAGGGAGGCATCATACTCCTCTGGCAACTGGAATAATTTGGTTAACTCTAAAATTAAAATGGCCACAAAATCATGCTGTACAAGGAAGCGTAAAATATCCATGAAAACTAACTTTAAGTTGGAGGCCGGGTGCGGTGGCTCACGCCTGTAATCCCAGCACCCAAGATGGGTGGATCACGAGGTCAAGAGATCAAGACCATCCTGGCTAACATGGTGAAACCCCCTCTCTACCAAAAATACAAAAATTGGCCGGGTGCGGTGGCTCAAGCCTGTAATCCCAGCACTTTGGGAGGCCGAGACGGGC